GAACACCGGCAAGGTCACATCTGACTTTGTCGCATTGGCCTTCCTGTCCGGAGAATATGGGCCAGCGCCGTATCCGATTAAAGAGCTAGCTGCATTCACTAGACTCAAGGGTGTCGAAGCAGGAAAAGTCGTCGAGGCAAAGCTAACAATCAGGTTAGGAGAGTTAGCTCGCGTCGACGGCAACGGAAATACAGTCCTGTACCCCGGGAAATATCAAGTTTTACTTGACGTTCCAACTCAGGATCAAATCACGTTCGAGTTAACGGGTGAACCAAAGACACTCATTGAATTCCCACAACCGCCTGCAGATCTGGGCGAAGGAAATGGGCACGAAAATCTCTGAACTATTTTACGAAAGGCTAAGAGTGTATCGAACTAAGGAATAATGTTAGAGCTGCTGTTGTTCCTAGCGTTGTGCTGTTCAAATCAAAAGTTTGACGTTCAGTCTATTGTCGCGAGTGTAAGGCTTTCGCGTATATAGACTTAAGGTCGCCGCCTGGGTGAAGGGGTTGACTAGAATTTCATGGCCCGGTTGAAGCATAGGGGATTATTGCGATTTGGTCACTCTTCCAAGCCTTTGGAATTAAGTCCTTATTAGAAACCGTATATTGTACATTTTTCAAGGCTGTGGTCTTGCTGTGCCTTTTAAAGTAGGTATCTATGACGACTGAAGAAAGCCGCAAAAGATGATGAATCAGCAGTAGCCCCTTATCAAGTGGAAAGACATCGGAATTGTGACGGGACTTTCGGCGAGATCGGAGTTCCTGTCATCGTAACATGCCCCAAATTATTACTTTCGATTATTTTAGCATCTATTCAAGTTATCAATATCGCTATAAAAAGCTGACGTTAGGCGAGCTGAACACAACGTGTGACGACCTCAGAATAATTTAAGCATGAGGTTCGGCCTCTTAGGATAAGGGCTATGTAAGACCGTCGGTCTGTTGTACTTCCATTGCTATTGATACGTCATTCCGTGGTAGCCTGCCAACATACGTGTAGGACTAAAGAATGTCACACTTGTTCCTATTGGAAATCAGGCAAGACTGCCCTTGTCGTTGGCATTTTCGTTGTTGAATCCGCTTTCCGCCTTTCCGTTCCCATTTCCCTCATCCTTTTCTCGTGGTATCGTTCCACTGTACCTCCCAGCTTCCTCCCTCTCCTGTCGTCTTCTTGCCTGATCTCCTTCGTCTCATCCTTTACCACTCTGTTCCGCTATTACTGTTCTCGGTCCCTTTATCCCCTTTCTCCCGAGCTTCTTTTTGCTCGTGCTCCCTTGCCTGATTTAGTGTAACAAGACATCAGTTTACCCTTGTTGGCGAAAATCAACGGTGGGAGCATCAACGAACCGCTACGCAATTGTGGCAATCTTCTCTTTTGAGGTGGCTCGTTCCGTGTATTGTGCATAACGTCTAGTGCTTTGTGCAGTATCCGTATCTTCGAATGCCCCTGCAATTTCCCTTGGATTTATCGGGACAGTGATGAGTCGTTGGGAAACCCTGCTTAGGCATTATTATACCTCTGAGTATTTGATTGACAGAATATAGTAGCAACAGTGAAGGCGAGGGTAGAACAAATTATAGTAGCAGCAATGACGAGGAGAAACTTAATCGGGAGAAGGGCCCCTATATATATTCTCAGTGGTTCAAACTTCATCGAGTGGATTGGCAGAGGTGTATGCAAAAGAATATGTTGAGATGCCGACGCATGATGAACGGGAAGGCCGTAGGAAATGAACCAGCTTGCTTTATTGTTACCCAAACAAACAATGTGTAGTTGATAAAATTTCACCGGTCGCGGCCGTATTCTTGGGTTCGTTCATTTCTTCTGTGCAACTTGGATACACATCTCGACAAGAGTGTAGTCTATCTACCAATTACAAGACTCGTCGGCCCGTGGATGTGCTTTAATACCCGACCAATATCCTGGTGTAGCGTCACCTGTCCATTAGCCTAGAACACGTATCGGTTCAGTCCTGGGCTCGTTATGAATGACCTTCCATTCTTTCAGCATTGCATCGGCCCCATAGAAGTCTTCATTAGAGCGAAGTCCGTTGATCATGAGGGAGACAAGTTGCCTTGCTAGTCGGTACGCTGGTTGGTATGCAAATCGAAGATAATCAGGCCCAGCAGCATCCTCAAACAGCTTCTTCAGTTGTCGCAACTCTGCGGTAGGCGGCTCCTCGTTTGCTGTCCGCTCATCTTCGTCTTCATCCTCTTTCCAGCCCCAAAGCCAAAGAGGTGGCTTGCATGACATGAACATCGGTGCAAGTATAGCACTATCCCAATCCAATATGCCGGAAATTATGTTTAACTGCGTGTCAGAAGTTGGGTTCACCATTATGTTGCGAGGAGCAAAATCAAGGTGTGCTAGCGAATAGTGGTGGTTTACTAACCAACCATCTTCGTCTAGCTCTGATGCCATGGCTATAAAGCGATCCATGTACACAACCCGAAAAGCATCTTGACTAGGATTTTGTAGGAAAACGTCTTTCTTCGCTTGTAAGCAGTCTGTAAGAAGCTTGAGGACCGTAGTGGTTGCCGAAAAGCTATTAAAAATGCTTGTCAATGATGATAATGAATAAGACTCGGCACTTTTGTCACACAGTGGTGCGATGTTGACCTGAGCCTCCTGGTGATTCCCATGTAAAGGCAAGACGAAGACGCCGGCGGTGCTGCTCTTGACAGCTAACATGTGGGCAAAGACGGTGCCGAGCTCGTGAGCGACTCTACAGCGCTGAGGGTGGGATAAGTCGGAATAGGTCAACATCAAGTTGGTTCCCGGGATGCGATTTTGAAGGAGGAAGGGGAGGCCAAGTTCATTCTGATCCGTCTCATCAAATTGGATTACTCTAGGAGCAGTAATGGCAGTGTAGTGATGCACAAAGTGAAGGGCGGCGACGTCGTTTCTTATGTCGGAAAAGTCGTAGCGCGGCACCCGTAGAACGTACTCATCCGCCTGGTGAGTCAATCCAATGATGCGATTGAATCCTCCACCGACCAGACGCTCTACTATGATATCTCCCGGTGCTGCATTTGGCCAGAGCTTCTGTCCCAACTTTTGTGCCCGCAATTGAAAGGTCGCAAATGGTTCATGCCCATAGACAAGAGACGAGCTGTCAGACTTGGAATTAGTATCGGTGCCATCGTCAGTGCCACAATCGGAAGAGGCGTCAGTACGAGCGTCAGCTCTAGTTGAGGAAGAGGTAGAGTCCATAATATATAATGCGTGTCTGTCTGTGTATGTATTGCTGTATTGCAAAATGGGCGGTGCTGGCAGGGAGGGTTGATGGGCAAGACATAATCCACGAGATTGAATGTGCTATAAGTAGGACACTAACTTGTATGCCTACCTAGAAGGTACTGTGGTATTGTAGGGCCCAATGCTACGGGTTCTGGCTACTGATATTTGTGCCACCGTTGAGCCACTAAATAGGTTTGTACCACAACCACAAGCTCGCCCAATTTCAAGAACATACCTAGGTACTTAGGATACTAGGTAGACTGTCAGTTGCAATTCGATTATCACGTTCTCTAGCCTACGACTCACCTGTTCTGCGTTTTCTGGTTCCACGCCGATATCGCCCCAAGTAATTCTATAGAGGTCGTTCTTGCTCCTCAGAGATATTCTTTGCCGTACGAGTTTTCACCGTGCACCAAGAGTAGCACGCCCTGTCCCTTCCCGCCCACGATATCAGCAGTGCCACTCATCTGCTTCCCACAAGCGGTGACGACTGCTTGGATAAGCTCCTTGTCATTAGTTGGAAGAAAGGACAAGCCGTTTAAAAATGATTTGTTCCATGTCACGTTGGTCGTTCGATCCATTAGCATCAGTTCTTTAATCCAGTCAGTACAAGAACATTTGGATCTAATGTTAGACTTACTTCAGGCCTTTTCAGACAGATCATAGCCATGAATGTGAGCTAGTAGACAGGTTAAGAAAGCACCGCCGGGAGGCTGATCTCGATCCGTTAATTACGTCCTGTCCAGGATCATCCATAATGTCATCGAAACTCTCGAATTTCTGGATGTCCTTCAAAAACCTCATAATCAATCATGAACCGCCTCTCCGCTTAGAAATGGTCAGCAACTTCAACCTTCTCTCAAAACACAAGGGAAGAACGGACCTGAATTTCTTGGTAAAAGATTTTGGTGCATATAGCAGACCAGAATTTGTTTCTTGCATTTCCAGAATTTCAATCCACACGATACAAGCTGGCCCTTAATCAGTGCGGCATCGTGCGAGAAGCGTAGGAGATAGACGGGGAGCCGAAGTGGTGTCTTACTCCGTATTGTTATCAGTCTGCTCAGGGTCAACCACCTCGCGCTTGGTAATTTGATTATCCGAAATAATTTTCGATAAGATACTCTCATTCATCGTCTTCTTGGAGGAAATGTATTCTCTGATTTTCTGAAACTGGTATTGAGTTGCCATTTTACAATCATCACGCAATTTTCCAATAGTCCATCCGCCCAGGGGTAGTTTGCGACTTGCTTGGCGGTGAGTATCTCCTGGCCGTCCTTGAATTTGGTAAGAGTCACCTCGTCAGGACAGAATAGTCTATCGATGTATTTTTGACCTTCCCTCTCAAAAAGAGACGATGAGCCTAATCCCAATCTCCCCTCCACTTTGCTTTAAAATGCGAATAGAAACATTGAATAGCGCTACTATTGCAAGCTTCAAGTCAGCTTGAATCCGAAAATCGAATCAAAGACCTATTATTGTTGAATTGGAATATATATGGTTTTCTAAATATATCGGGTATCTGTATAGTGTCGAAGCTTCGAAAGTGGTTCTTAGCCGACACGAACTCAATTGGCTGTCAAACGGCCGTTTCGGGTCCCAACCTATTCTTTGTCCACTCGGTAACTAACTACTTAACGGGGTGCTTATTGTGGCGGGGTCTAACGCTTCTTTCGGCAATATTACCGAGACAAGGTAAGTTTGCCCTATGCATGGCCAATGAGTTAGGACGGTATTAAAAATCGTTCGTCATCACTGGACCCATAGCTCAGCGGTAGAGCATCTGATTCCAGCTTCAAATGAAACTGCCTCCAGAAGTGAGTAAAGCTCATAGATCATGCCTAAATTGGCTTTAACTAACCAAGTCGTCTAGGGTCATCCGTTCAAATCGGGTTGGGTTCAATTCCTACATCATTTTTTCCCCTCACAGAACAAAATGTGTATTTTTGTTTTTCTGTTTACTACTATTTAATTCAAATGGATGATTAGACAGATGGTCGACCAACAACGGGAAATTTTTGCGCGGGCCGCCACAAACGCCCAGGTGTTTGATTCGTACAAGACCCCCACTGACTGGCTGCAGCTATACGTGACATAAGTTATGATCGACTTATCCTTATCCTTATTATAATATATGCCTACGAGAAGTTAACTGGTATCTCTGACCTCATCGAGCGTTTCTGAAAACACTTGACTACAGAGAAGGTCACCACCGTTGTGAAAATGATAGTGCTAACTTATACCAGTCTTCGAATGCCTTTGCCCCCGCTGGCTTCGAATCACCTACCAGGGTATGTGGACATCGATTTCAGTAGAAATCCAACCAAATTCCGGACGATTGCCGCCGGCTTCACATAGCCTACATCAGACAGATCTCTACATATGACTGATTTTATATCTCATTTAATGAGCTTTATGCAGAACCCTGCATCCAAAAACTAAGAGTCAAGGGTTTCGCTCGCTACCTAGTTTGAAACTCGGGTGTACAACCCTACGTGAAGGACTGTACAGGGCATCAACCGTATAGGCTTTAGCTGACGTGCGTATGCTTTTTGTTTAAATACTGTTGAAGTTCAATAAAGGAAGCGCGTTTTATTAGATAGAAACGAATAGGAGAGGACGAGCTTGAGATCATCATCCTCTTGAAATACAGTCCCTCAAAATATCAAGTAGTATTACTTCCATTGCATGTCAGCGTCGGGCTCGAGCGGTTTTACTTGATATGAAAGACACTCTGGGGCCGTGATGCTTCTTCCCGGGAAAGCTGCCAGCCTCCAAGAGTGATAAATACCTAAGGAGGAACTAACAAGGATTTGTAAGATCCGTTCCCATTCCCATTCCATAACTTCCTCTCTAAATATCTACGATGCAACTTTGAGACGGATAATAACACTCATATCAAATCACCCAACCGTGGGCCCCGGTCACACCGGCATCCTTCCCCATCTTGAGTTTGCTGCGAACTGTAACGTGTTAGCACCTTTATAACACTCTCCTCACAGCACAGGGGTGACTCACTCCCATCCATTCCTTGTTGCACCTCTTCGGTATGGTCTGCAGAATACTCCCATAGCCGACAACACCACAACGCAACCAGCGCGTCTAAAGTCGTCCGCGGCAATGGCGCCGTGACGATCATCCGGTGCGTATCCTCGCCCTCATCCTCAACGGCGACAGCATTGCCATTCTTATCGGTCCACTCCCACCGGCCGTCTCTCTTGCGCAACTCAAAGAGCGGCTCCGCATCCTTGGCAAATCCAGGAAGACCAAGCTTATTACCCTTACCGGTGATATCGAGTGGCAGCGCCGTGAAAGCGGAGCGCAGACGCGCTTTCTTCAGGCCGAAATGACCTAGCGCGCGCTTGGAGACTGCGCGTGCGAAGAATTGTGGGCAATTGGAGGGCAGCGAGTTGTAGACCGTCCACGAGCGCTCGAGAGTAAACACGTGGTGCCGGCGGTCGCGTGGCGATGGCTCGTTGTCGGAGCTTGTGCGCACGACGCGCTCCAGTGTGACTTTGGCTGTTGCGCGCGACAGCGATGCGATGCTGCGGTCTAGATGGTATAGCGGTGCCGAGGAGGCCGTCTCGGCGTGGATGGTCTGGCTGGCGAGGACCAGGATCACCGGCTGCATGACGTCGTCTGTGGGGCCGGGAGCCGTCGCCGCCTCGGCGTAGGACGGCGGGTGGTCAGTAGTCTCGGGTTGGGACGACATGGCGAAGTTGTCTGCTAGAGAAAGGGTTCAAAGGTAAGGAGGTAGCGGAGAAGTCGGGGAAATGAGAGCAAAGCGTTTGAAGTGATTCGTACTACCCATTAGGCAGGCAGATAGTTATCTCAGCCTGCTCCTAATAATACTTCAGGTCGGGCTATCTTTCTCAAGGCTGTGACTAAATCCGTCGCGAAAAGAAACACAACAGGGAAATTCGTCGAGCATCGGTGGACCATCCATTTAATGCTAAAAATAAAGACACAAAGCGTGAAACGGCTCCGATGTGCCTACTTGAGAACAGAACCGGACATCTATTACATGAAACATCAGACCAAGGCAGCCCCCAAAAGAGATCCTATGTTGGTTTTAAATCTGCAGGGAAATACGCTAAGCACTACCAACAAACATTACCGGCAGAGTGGTACGACCAACATACCCCAAATCTTGGCGATGATAAGCTTTAAAGTACGTCATACTGCTTTTGCTGTGCCTCCCAATAGCGAAGTGAAAGTGAACAGAGGCGGTGGTATTTGATATTGGGGGATAGGTCAGAATACAATTAGCGCTATTATGTGTCGACTGCTGTGGTATGAACTCTATGCGAAAATGCGTGAATTAAAGTCTATCCAGCTAATAATAATTCTCCATGACGTTGTTTCCACTTGTAGTAGGTAATAAGGTACATCAAAGATAGATGTAAATGTTTATTCATTTATATCACCCCTACAAGTGGGGATAGCCTCCTTAACAGTGTAATAACTGTCCACCTTTTCTCGCAACCGTACTAACGTCCTCACATGTTCAAGCTGTTATACACAAGTGGATATTGCCACCCCGGAACCGTGCAGACAAAGAAGATGACCACCCAAAAATAACCGAGGAATCGGACAGTGTGGCCGGTGGTTGAGCCATGGCCAAAGGTTGTCGGTCCCAGCCTGTGCAGAAGTGCTGCCGCGGCTGTCTCAGCCAGACATAGCGTGTAGTTAACTAGAAAGAACCATAAATCCTCTCGGACTGTGCATAGTCTGTACATAACCCAGTTCACAACGGCATGGCATACGCCTGAGAGTAAGAAGGTCCAAAGCGCACGTAGTGCTGGAACGTGGTACACAAGCGGTGGGGTCCACGATGAGAACGGCGCCACGTGTAGTCTTTGCCAAAACACTCCCCAGAAGCGACGGAGCGAATACGCTTCGAGGACGCTGCCGAACAGCGGTGGCCACTCGGAGGGGTGATCCCAGCGGAGAATAGCCACGCACGCTATGGAGAGTACGCTGTGCCACATGGAGAGTGTGCAATATGTTTCCCAGACCCAGTGGGCTGAAACGAGAACCCTGAGAATGAGGTCGTGCTGCGTTAGCACAGGCACTACAGCCTGCTTTTCAGGGGCAAAGTCCTGGGGCTGGACGTTCAGCCGCAGTAGGGCGAGAGGAAAGAGCCCGGCGATGATGCGATTGGCTGCCCAGAGAAGCAGGCACTTGACAGCCCGGTGGAGGCCAAATGCGAGACGCCCGGCAGACACACCGGCCCCATCAGGGGTACCGGCAGGAGGCAGTTGGCGGATGTTGGTCCACGTGCGCACGAAAGCCCTCGCTTGTTGCAAAGGGGTGAATGAGTGTAGATCTAGGACGCGCTGATCGAAAAGGAGGATTGCGACGGTATGGACGGTAAGACCCATTACGAAAGGAACTTTGACGCTAGGGTAGAAAGATAGAACAATGGGATCGGCTTGGAAAGAGATCGCAATGAAGAGGATGTGGAAGCTGCCTAGGACTCGCCGCTCAAGACTGCTTCTCGGCTTTTGGATAGCGAGATAGAAGAAGAGCGTTGCGAGAAGAAAGAATAGAAAGGGCTCAGCAAGGATGAGTTGATCCATGGCTTAAACTGATGCAAAAGTCTGCGTGGTTACCTTGATGACGCTTTGTACTCGCTCTCACCCGACGGACCAAGTCCTCTTATACAGAATATTTACCGAACGATACTGCTACTCGGCGGGGCAAGATGGACACACGATCCTACCCAACTTCCTAAACATAGCCTTCACCAACATGAATCTCAATCCTCCTCAGTCACAGCTTATACGCCTCCCATAACCCCTGATTCAGAAGAAGGTTTCTCAAGTCATGACTAAGACGACGATCTATCAAAAGAACCAACAGTACAGACGACGCCGCGATCACGCAGATTACCTCATGCTCTTTGTAACTCGTCCAATTTGGAAAAGGAACACCTCTTCAGCGCTATGTTTGACGCTTCACGTTCATGACGATCCGTGCTATGGACCATGGTGATCTGCCTGTTATGAGATGAGTAACGGAGGGTTGGATGAAGCGGCGACGGTGGCATGCCTATCGGATAGTTTCGTGTTGTAGGATCCAGCCGACCTAAGCTTACGAAGAACGATCCAAATTGGCAATAGATATCGTCAGTGGCTCGACATGAAACGAGAAAGAAAGAGACATTGGGAGTTCATTGTGTATAAATTCAGCCGACTTCCGTCGCCTCAACCTTCACATCTCTACAACCACTAGCATCACTCATTGAGCATCATCGTAACAGCTACACTTTCGCTCGCCAACTTCACCACTTCACCAAATTTCCAACTTCCATCTTCCAAAATGCCTATCCCAGCAATCGTTCTGATCGTCAGCGACGCCCTCACAGCCACCGGTGCCGTCGTAAACTGCTACGCACTGCACAAGTGCGGACGCTCTCTTCCCGACGCCACCTCCATCCTCTCGCGAGTAAACATGAACCTCCCAGACTACGCTCGCCGACAGGACGTCGGCGTCTGCGGCGTGCCGCAGTACAATTTCAACACCTGCCAGAACGACCTCAAGGGCGTGATGGTACAGTCGTCACTTCCAGCTGCGGGTGGTATGCTCCTCCCCTTTCTCCTCTTCACTCTTTACCGGTTTCTCTAATAGCGGGTTAACAATTTTACTAATAATCAACCGCTCACAGAGGCTCGATTTGAGAATATCCCAGCCTCTTGCATGGACCTTGCTACCGTGCTCACCGGCGCCTGTGGTGCCGAGGCCCCTACTGTGACCGTGTGTGGCTCGGCCTGCCTGTCTTATACTGGCTTGACGTCGGATCAGCTCGATCAGCTCTCCCAGACGTTGGCACCCTATGCCGCATAAATATCTTCCCAGCATATGGGAATGAAGATATCAGGTGCCAGACTACCAGTCAG